GACACCTGCAGAATCTCAAGGGGACCGGCGCCGCAAACAATGAGGAATGAACTGACGGGGTGCTGCCCAGAGGGGCGCGGGCGCGCAAATGCACCCGGAAACAAACTGCTTGCTGGCCCTTGAGCGGGAAGGCATTCTGAGACGTGTTGAGGGGGGCGAAGCGCGGGCAACGTTCTTTCACTTCTCCCGCGAGAGGTCTAGCAGGCCCCGTCCTCGGCGATCCCCCTGCGGCAGTTCCGACATGGGGCGGGTTGCCAAACCCCGCGAGGGCGCGCCAATGGCGCTTCATCCAGGAAGCTGCCGTTAAACATGAATGATGGCGTCGGAGGCCGCGCCAAAGCAGCGCGACAACATGCTGAATATCGACGGGGGGGAAGGAATAATATGACAATGCTAAGAACTATGGGGCGATAGAAGAGCCGCGCTTGAAACGGGCGGCGGGGGACGTGGAGAAGCACCAACAGAAGAAGCGCAAAAGGGAGGGGCACGCGAACCGATCGACGATCCAGGGGGCGCTACAAGCCGTTCGGAAAGATCGTAGTCGACGAGAAGGCGGCGATGCCGACGCTTACGTCACGGGGGAAAATATCGCCAAGGGCTGCCTGGCGCCGCACAAAGCAGGGAAGCGCACTGGCAACCAGCCGTTCATGAAGTGCAATGCCATGGCCAAGAGGGTCGAGCTCATGCACCTCGAGGGCGGCTTCGACGAGTTCAGCCGCATGATCGACACTGCCGACTTCGAGGCGCCTGCGGCCCTGGCAACCCCTGCGCCGACGCCGCCGACTGGTGGGGGGGATGCGCCCAGGCGGCCAGCAACCGAATGTGGCAGCGATCGGAAACAAGGCTGCATCGTGGGCGCGGACGGCGAGAAAAAGCTCGCCTGAACGGTGGCTGCAGGTAAGAAGACGCTCAGGCAGAGGCTAGAGGTGACGGCCAAGGATGCCCAGGCTGCGATGCATGCCAGCACGGACCTGGACAAGGGGTCCAAGACCGCGGGGAACCTCAAGCTGAGCATGATCAAGGCGATTGCAGGCTACCACGGCATCAAGACGGGCCCGAATAAAAATTGGCACGCACGATGGCGACGCTCCAGCCCCTCGAGGACCTCGAGGTGTCGATCGAAGCGGCTCGCCGCGGCAATGAGTTCACGACTCCCTGGGCTAGTAAAGTGAACATAGGAAGGGGATTGGATCGATCATACAAATGACGCCTGTGCCCCCATCCGCCGCCCCGCTGCGCGAGACTAAAGCTCGAGGGTCCCACCCCTACACCCCGCCGCAGAAAGACCCCGCCGCAGAATAGCTAGGAGCAGGAGTCGGCATAACTGTCCGCCCACCACTGCCGCCCCTGGCAAGGCTAGGATGTAACACGCACGCCACTTAATTTTACAATCAAGCACAGTACACATAATAAGGGTCGCAATATTTGTCTTGACCGCCGCGCCCACCCGGCCCCGCCCCGAGGTGCGCGCGCGGGAAGAGGGCAGCTGCATGGCTGGGAGACGGCGTGAACATCGGAGGTGAGGGGGTGAGATCGAAGTGTAACGGAGAGCCCCCCTGCCGGGAAATCGGTTTCGGTTTCGTGTTCGTGCGTGCCGTGCGCGAAGCTGCGTGGGCGGGCGAAAGGAAAGTCTCCTGTGGCTGAGGCGTGGCCAAACCAAATAATCCCCTTCCGGCAACTGGTGCCGCGCGGTGCGCCGCCGGCGTCCCGCCTCTGGCAAAGGCGCGGCCGGACCAAATGATTCCCTTCGGGCGTCAGGTGCCGCGCGGTGCCCCGTCGGTGTCCCGATGATGATGATGATGATGATGAAGATGATGATGATGATGATGATGGGCGATGATGATGTCGATGCTGTTGATGATGATGGTGATGATGATGGTGGTGGTGGTGGGTGGTGATGATGGTGTCCCGATGGTGATGATGATTATGTTGATGCGATGCTGGTGGTGATGATGATGGTGTCCCGGTGATGATGATGTTGGTGATGCTGATGTTGCTGATGATTGATGTCCCGAGGGTGATGGCGATGGAAGATGATAATGACGGTCTCCCGATGATGATGTGATGATGGGATTGATGATGATGATGTTGATGATTATGGTGCTGATGATGACGATAGTGTCCCGATGAGGATGGTGATTGTGATGATGATGCTGTTGGCGATGATGGTGTCCCGATCATGGTGATGTTGATGATGAGGTGAATATGATGATTGTGATGATGGTGGCCCGATGATGATGATGCTGCTGTTGATGATGATGACGGTGCCCTGATGATGATGACGATGGTGGTGATGGTGATGATGGTGACGATCTTGATGGTGTCCCGACGATGATGTTGCTGATCATGTTGTTCATGATGACGGTGGTGGTGTTCCGATGCTGATGATGATGACGGTGTCCCGATGAAGAGGATGTTGATGATGCTGATGGTGACGATGATGGTGTCCCGATGATGATGATGGTGGTGATGATGATGATGCTGGTGTCCCGGTGATGATGCTGTTGATGGCGTTGATGTTGATGATGGTGATGTTGACGTTGATTTTGAAATCGATTGTGATATCGGTAGTGGAATCGATAGTGAGACAGAATGTGAGATCGATCGTGAATAGTCAGATCGATTGTGAGATCGATCGAATGCAATAGATCGAGTGAGATCGATTGTGAGATCGATCGAGTGAGATCGATCGAGCGAGACCGATAGTGAGATCGATAGTGAGACCGATCGAGTGAGACGCTGCCCCCCCCCGAACCTCCTCATCGCCCGAAGGGTGGTCGTATAGGTATAAGTGTGTGTATATTTATAAGCATACATGTATATACATGCACAAAACTGTTGCGTCGGCGGCTGGGCAGTAGGCGACTGCGCTGGCGATGAAACGCATGGGCGGGGCCCCCTTGGAGCGAATTGCGCCGCCATGCAAGAAGGGGGGGGGGGGGCGGCTGGGCCCGCCGCTCGGCACGCGGCGGCCGCTGCACAACTGGGCCCGGGGCGGCGGGGCCCAGCGCGGAAAAACAAATCTCGGGTGGCGAGTGCGTAGCGGGGTCAAATCCGAGGCTGCTCAACCCCATCGCGGGCCCGTTGGGGGCCACGGGGCCGCGGCGCCAGCGGCGAGCGGCAGGACTGGGCCCGGGGCCGGCGCGGGCGTCGGCAGCTGGCGGCAAAGGGCGGCGTCAGCGGGGCCGGCAGCGCCATGGCGGCGCGGAGCGAGGGGGGGCGAGCGAGAGGGAGGGGGCGAACAGGGAGGAGGACGCCCCGCCAGCGGGCCCACAGGTGGGGCGGCATGCGCCAGGAGGGCGGCGCGAAGGCCAGCGGGTGGGAGGGGGCGAACAGGGAGGAGGACGCCCCACCAGTGGGCCCACAGGTGGGGCGGCATGCGCCAGGGGGGCGGCGCGAAGGCCAGCGGGTAATTGGCGAGTGGGGCCACGGCGCTGATGTGTCAGGCGCGCAACGAACTGTTGCAAGTCGGTGGTGTGACGGCGCACCTCCGAAGGGGCATGAAGGTGCGCCGGCGCCCGGGCGGCCGGCGCCCGGGCGGCTGGCGCGGGCGGGCGCGGGTTTTCACGTCGAGCGTCCGCGCCGCATCTTATAGGCGCGGCGGCCCTCGCAGCCCGCTTGGCACGCCGCGAAAGCTGCGCGCATTAGTGCAGCGTCGCGCGGGCGTCTGGCGAGAAATCCATGCAATTCATATAGCGCGCTTCCTCCCTGCGGGACCCGGCGCGTCGGAAAGTCGAGCGCTGCGCAGCTGGCCCGTGGAAAACAAGAGCCACCGCGCGGAAGCAAAGCGTTCCGACAGTGGCACTCGCGCAGCGGGAATGGGGCGCGGCGCGCGCGACGCGCGATTGATTTTGTTGAAGACGCGTTCGGGGCAAAACTTCGGCGGGAGATGCCGCGTTAGTTTTTTGTTGTCATCGAAATGGTTGCATTTTGGTTTTGCACATAGGATTGGGCCCGCTGGCTCGCGCGGGCTGCTTCTTTTTACATACATGTATTATTATTGGTTTCCAATAGTTTTTTTTTGGCGCGCGTGTTTCGCATATAAAAGGAAGGGGGCTGGAAGGGGGGGCAGGGGCGACCCCGCCGGGCCGCCGTGGGGGCTCAGCTTCGGCTCGCTGACCCTGCAACAGTTCGGCGCGACTTCAGACCCGTGGCGGAAGGGAGAGAAACGGCCCGCCCTGGTGAAAGGTGCAGATCTTGAGCCAGGCACGACTTCAGAATTTGAAAAAGCCACAACAATATCTGAAATCTGAAGGCAACTACCGTCAGGGTACTCTGTCGGTCGGCACATCCACCCCGCGGCCGAAAGGCATGGCGATGTCGTCAGATTCCGGGCGTGCTGCACTTGCGCCGCGGTCGGCTGCGATCGGCGCCCCGTGCTTCGGGCGTTATGTGGGCGTGTCCAATCCCTGCTGCGGTCGCGGCCACGCGCCGCCTGCGCGCGCCTGAATAGTTAACCGCGTGCATTTCCCTATGCAGATGTCGCGGGCGAGGCCAGCTGCGCTGGGCGATCGACCCATGCCCTCCCGGCCCCCGCTCAGACAAACAAACGGGGCCGCGTTCCATGGACCAACGAAAAGAACCCCAGTCGCCATCGAGCACAGCATCATCGTGTTTGTTCGGTGCCCGGGGCCGAAGCGCTAGTTGATGCATGCCGTCCGTTCCCATTGATTCCTACGCCTTGCGCATGGGTTAGCAGCGACGATTAGCGAAGAAGCAAGTCGGACAGCGCGCGGCCGACCAGCCGCGCGAGAAGGCCCGTGCGTTGGCAAGCCCGCCGCAGGGCCGTGACCAGAGCGGGCGAATTTACTAAACATGTGTTTCGCTTTTCGGATATCACTATGTGCTTTATGTATTGTGCCAACGACAAATCGTTAATCAACCTGCCTAAGTCCGCGCGTCATTCATCGTGTCCCTCGTAAGCGCTGCTCGCGCGTTCAGCCCCGCCCCGCCCCGCGCCTCCGCCAGCTCCGCGAGGCAGCGCTCGTCGCGGCGAGCCACGCGGAAAATGTCCTCACGCGCACGGCCTGCGAAGCAACGCATCCTAATCGCGATTCGCGAGCGACTGGCCCCGAGGACGAAGGCAAGCCACGCGACGTCGCACATCGCCGCCCACGACGCCTTCTGCGACGCAGTCTGGTTCGAAAAATCAGCGGCGCGGCTGCGCGCGCAACTGCGGGCCCACCGCGGCCGGCGCGCCACGCGCCGCCGCGAACGCCTGCACATGCCGTTGTATTCCGCGGGCGCCGCGCACGCGTCGCTGCCTTGACTCCTCCACGCCTGCGAAATACACGACCCCGCGCGGCCGCGTGCCGATGAGCTACCGCGCCGCCCAGCCACTGGACATGATCCGAAATCCAGCTTACACGGGGCTGCGCACGGCCACGATGCCTTGCACTTCCACGAAAATGCCTGCTCAAAACTGCCACGGGGCAACGCAAACAGCCGCCCCCCATCCAGCGGCGCGCGCCTCGATCTCTGCAGGCGACATGTCGCGCGCGTCAACGTCGCCGCACCATCCTGCGCAGGCCGCGCGCGAGCGCGCTAGGGGGCGCACCTGCTCAATATGCAGTCGCGCCATCGTAATCCGACGGCGGAGAGCACGCCCCCGACTGCAAGTCGCCGAGCGGAGCAGGCCACCGTGCTCAACGGACGCTGCCGAGCGCCGCGGTTCGATCCCATTCGCGCGGGCACCTGGACTGCAAGGGTGACTGGCGGCAGCGTTCAGCATGTCACGCCAGCCACCGGCAGCGTCGCCCGCGACGCGCGAAAACAGGCGCCGAAAACCCAAGGGAGCGGTGCACTTGGTAACGTCGCGGGGGCACCCTCCAGCGAAGACTCGCTGCAAAATTCGGACGTGGGCCATTGTGTACGCCGCCTGCGTCGCGCGGCCGGCCACGAGACCAGCGCGCGCCCCTCCGCCCGTCCTCGTTCAATTCTTCCCGCAATATCGACGCCGCGAGGTCATGCTCGAGACGAGCAGCGGCGGCCCGCCCGAGGCGTTGCACCGTGGCGCGGTCGTCGGCGACCAGCGCGGGCGTCGCGCGCTGCTGGGCTGCCACGCCGCCAATAATCGCACCTGCCCCATCGGGGAAAACAGGCTGCGCGGTGGCTGCGCCCGCCAGCAGGGCGCAAGCCATTGCGCGCGCTGCAGTGAGCATACCAAGCTGGCAACCCGCGCGCAGCTCGATGCGCTCGTCTCGACGATCACTCCAACGCCGCGCTGAGAGCCCCGGCGACTTGCCGCTCGCGGAGCGAGGCCACCGCGCGAAAATCGCGCACCGAGGCCCTCGCCGAGGCGGCGCGGCCGCGCCGCTCCGCGCGTGCCACCAGCACGCGCCACATCGCGCAGCGAGGCTCCACTCCCGTGGCGGCGCGAGATCCCAATGCGAAAACTGCTTTCCGAAGCCCCCGCTAGGCGCGACGCAGACGCGCTGCCCCCGCGCGCGCCGATCTGCGCGGAGCCTCTACCGCCTCCACCAACAAATGCCCCCCCCCCCCGCCCCCTGGCGCGCCGCCCGGGGTGGTGCTCCGCGGGATGGTTGCAACGGAATCCCGCTCAGTGCTGCGGAGCCGCCGTGAATTCTGCGGGGCCCACGGGAAACCTGCATAACCGCCAGGAGACCAGCAGCAGTGGGCGAATCTGAAGGAACTCCAAGCATGTCATGGAACTCTGGAGGGTCGAAAGGAATCGCATGGAAACCTGCAGAATATCATAGGGACCGGCGCCGCAAACAATCAGGAATAATACTGACGGGGTGCTGCCCACCAGAGGGGCGCGGGCGCGCAAATGCACCTGGCAACAAACTGCTTGCTGGGGTTTGAGCGGGAAGGCATTCTGAGACGTGTTGAGGGGCGAAGCGCGGGCAACGTTCTTTCACTTCTCCCGCGAGAGGTCTAGCAGGCCCCGTCCTCGGCGATCCCCCTGCGGCAGTTCCGACATGGGGCGGGGTGCCAGACCCCGCGAGGGCGCGCCAATGGCGCTTCATCCAAAAAGCTGCCGTCAAACAAGAATGATGGCGTCGGAGGCCGCGCCAAAGCAGCGCGACAACATGCTGAATATCGACGGGAAGACGAAATAATAATATGACAATACTAAGAACTATGGGGCGAAAGAAGAGCCGCGCTTGAAACGAGCGGCGGGGGATATGGAGAAGCACCAACAGAAGAAGCGCAAGAGGGAGGGGCACGCGAACCGATCGACGATCCAGGGGGCGCTACAAGCCGCTCGTCAAGATCGTAGTAGACGAGAAGGCGGCGATGCCGACGCCTACGTCACGGGAGATTATCCCGGCAAAGCAACCTAACAGCGATGTGTAGGAGCATATATGGAAGCATTCCCTTCAATATTCAGATGAGAATCCAATTGTAGAATTGTGCTGTTCTTGCAGCCGTAATCGCATTCGCGATGACAGTCGCAGCGGCAACGGCAGTCGCAGTCACAGCCACAACCTCAGCCTGCCTCAGCCTCAGCCTCAGCCTGCTTCAGCCTCAGCATCAGTCTGCCTCAGCCTCAGCCTCAGCCTCAGACTGCCTCAGCCTCACCCTGCATCATCCTCAGCCTCAGCCTCAGCTTGCCTCAGCCTCAGCCTGCCTCAGCCTCAGCCTCAGCCTCAGCCTGCTTCAGTCTCAGCCTCAGCCTCAGTCTGCCTTCAGCCTCGGCCTCAGCCTCGGCCGCAGCCTCAGCCTGCATCAGCCTCAGCCTCAGCCTCAGCCTGCCTCAGCCTCAGCCTCAGCCTGCTTCAGCCTCAGCCTCAGTCTGCCTTCAGCCTCGGCCTCAGCCTCAGCCTGCCTCAGCCTCAGCCTGCATCAGCCTCAGCCTCAGCCTCAGCCTGCCTCAGCATCAGCCTGCCTCAGCCTCAGCCTCAGCCTGCCTCAGCCTCAGCCTCAGCCTGCTTCAGCCTCAGCCTCAGTCTGCCTTCAGCCTCGGCCTCAGCCTCAGCCTGCCTCAGCCTCAGCCTGCATCAGCCTCAGCCTCAGCCTCAGCCTGCCTCAGCCTCAGCCTGCCTCAGCCTCAGCCTCAGCCTGCTTCAGCCTCAGCCTCAGTCTGTCTGCCTCGCCTCAGCCTGCCTCAGCCTGAGCCTGCTCAGCCTCAGCCTGCCTCAGCCTGCCTCAGCTCAGCCTGCCTCAGCCTCAGCCTCAGCCTCAGCCTCAGCCTCAGCCTGCCTCGGCCTCAGCCTCAGCCTCAGCCTCAGCCTCAGCCTGCCTCAGCCTCAGCCTCAGCCTCAGCCTCAGCCTCAGCCAGCCTGCCTCAGCCTCAGCTGCTTCAGTCTGCCTTCAGCCTCGGCCTCAGCCTCAGCCTGCCTCAGCCTCAGCCTCATCCTCAGCTTGCTTCAGCATTCAAAATGTGGCCCCGGAATGGCGTTCTGGGAACTCGAAGAACACGAACTGGCTTACAGTTGGCTCTGGGCATTCAGAATCATACCCAGGAAAAAGTTCTGGGAACTCGAAGACCACGAAGTGGCCTACAGTTGGCTCCGGGCATTCAAAATCATGCCCAGGAATGGAGTTCTGGGAACTCGAAGAACACGAAGTGGCCTACAGTTGGCTCCGGGCATTCAAAATCATGCGTAGGAATGGAGTTCTGGGAACTCGAGGACCACGAAGTGTGCTACTGTTTGCTAAAAAATCAACGGCATCCTCCCCCGGATCGCGCCAAGACCCCCCTGGGGCGTCAAGATGCGCTCTTTTGACCCTGCTAGAAACTTATCAGTCTTTGCAGTTGAATAAAAACATCGCCAAGGGCTGCCTGGCGCCGCACAAAGCAGGGAAGCGCACTGGCAACCAGCCACTCATGAAGTGCAATGCCATGGCAAAGAGGGTCGAGCTCATGCACCTCGAGAGCGGCTTCGACGAGTTCAGCCGCATGATCGACACCGCCGACTTCGAGGCGCCTGCGGCCCTGGCAACCCCTGCGCCGACGCTGCCGACTTGTGGGGAGGATGCGCCCAGGCGGCCAGAGCAACCGAATGTGGCAGCGATCGGAAACAAGGCTGCATGGGCGCGGACGGCGAGAAAAAGCTCGCCTAGACGGTGGCTGCAGGTAAGAAGACGCTCAGGCAGAGGGTAGAGGTGACGGCCGAGGATGCCCAGGCTGCGACGCATGCCAGCATGGACCTGGGCAAAGGGTCCAAGACCGCGGGGAACCTCAAGCTCAGCATGATCAAGGCGATTGCAGGCTACCACGACATCAAGACGGACCCAAATAAAAATTGGCACACGCGAAGGCGACGCTCCAGCCCCTCGAGGACCTCGAGGTGTCGATCGATGCGGCTCGCCGCGGCAATGAGTTCACGACTCCCTGGGCCAGTAAAGTGAACATAGGAAGGGGATTGGATCGATAATGCAAATGACGCCTGTGCCCCCAACCGCCGCCCCGCTGCGCGAGACTAAAGCTCGAGGGCCCCACCCCTGGACCCCGCCGCAGAATAGCTAGGAGCACCCTGGCAAGGCTAGGATGCAACATGCACGCCACATAATTTTACAACAAAGCACAATATAAATGAGAAGGGTCGCAATATTTGTCTTGGCCGCCGCGCCCATCCGGCCCCGCCCCGAGGTGCGCGCGCGGGCAGAGGGCAGCAGCATGGCTGGGAGACGGCGTGAAAATCGGAGGTGAAGGGGTGGGATCGAAGTGTAACGGAGAGCCTCCCTGCCGGGAAATCGGTTTCGGTTTCGTGTTCGTGCGTGCCGTGCGCGAAGCTGCGTGGGCGGGCGAAAGGAAAGACTCCTGTGGCTGAGGTGCGGCCAGACCAAATAATTCCCTTTCGGCAACCGGTGCCGCTTGGTGCGCCGCCAGCGTCCCGCCTCCGGCTGAGGCGCGGCCGGACCAAATGATTCCCTTCGGGCGTCCGGTGCCGCGCGGTGCCCCGCCGGTGCCCCTCCGGTGTCCCGATGATGATGATGATGATGATGATGGTGATGATGATGATGGCGATGATGATGTCGATGATGTTGATGATGATGTTGGTCATGGTGGTGATGATAGTGTCTCGATGTTGACGATGTTGATGATGATGCTGGTGGTGATGATGGCCATGGTGGTGATGATGATGGTGTCCTGGTGATGACGATGTTGATGATGCTGATGTTGCTGATGATGATGATGTCCCGATGGTGATGACGATGAAAACTGATAACGATGGTCTCCCGATGATGATGGTGATGATGAGACTGATGATGATGTTGATGATGATGGTGGTGATGATGACGATGGTGTCCCGATGAGGATGGTGTTAATGATGATGATGAGGTTGACGATGATGGTGTCCCGATGATGGTGATGTTGATGATGAGGCTGGTGATGCGGTGAGTATGATGATTGTGATGGTGGTGGCCCGATGATGATGATGATGGTGATGATGATGGTAAAGATGATGATGGTGTCCCCATGATGATGTTGCAGATGATGCTGTTCATGATGATGGTGGTGGTGTTCCGGTGATGATGATGATGATGACGGTGTCCCGATGAGGATGATGTTGATGATGGTGGTGACGATGATGGTGTCCCGATTATGATGGTGGTGATGATGATGGTGATGATGATGATGGTGATGATGGTGCCCCGGTGATGATGATGTTGATGTTGATGATGGTGATGATGACGTTGATGGTGAAATCGATTGTGATATCGATAGTGAGATCGTTCGCGAATAGTCAGATCGATTGTGAGATCGATCGAATGTAATAGATCGAATGAGATCGATTGTGAGATCGATCGGGTGAGATCGATCGAGCGAGACCGATCGATAGTGAGATCGATAGCGAGACCGATCGAGTGAGACGCGCCCCCCCCCCCCCGAACCTCCTCATCGCCCGAAGGGTGGTCGTATAGGTATACGTGTGTATATATATATATGTATACATATATGTAGACATAGACATAGACATATATGTATATACATGCACAAAACTGTTGCGTCGGCGGCTGGGCAGAAGGCGACTGCGCTGGCGATGAAACGC